GATAAGAGCAGCTATTTCCAGCACTGAGAAGACCACGTTGTATCTGCCAACCATGATGAGAAACATCTCAGAAAAAAGCGGTATCAAGACTATTTCAGCACTTACGTGGTTGAAATCACAAGGACTGAAATACATGCCTTTGAGAGCGAAGTACTCACAGCACTAGCCTTGGAAGGGTTAATCAGTTGGGTGGGTGTTGGTTGCTGCCATATTCATTTTTAAAGTCTCATTCTTTTGTCCCAGATCTGGGGGACTTGGCAGATTTGGGTAAATTCTTATCCAAATTAAACCAGAACAGAATATCGCTAATCAAAATTATTTCACCTTGGGTGTTCATTAATGTCCAGATGTCTGCATGCAGACTGGTTTGAGCTAAATTCTGAAAACAAAGACTCTAAAGCAGCATTATTTGGGAATAATTCAGAATCCCCAAGTTTGGGAAGACACACAGAGAGGGAGAATTTTATAAGCACTTCCCATCATGAAATCAGGATGATCCTATCAGTGTTAATATGGGAACTAAATTTGCCACCAAATCCTGCCTAACACATAATACAAGAAGATTTAGGAAGGCCATATTCAAGTGTCACTTTAGATGAAATTTCAAAAGAATGTGAATAATGTCTGTAACTTTTCTTGGAGAGTGTTCAAGAAATATCACGGCAAAATGGAATGTGTCCTGATGACAGTGACCCTGAGTTTTTGAGTGGAGCCCATGGCTCATGTGGAAAGGCAGAAGGACTGAGGAAGAGTGAGCACAGAGAAAAGGTCATTAGGATGTGGTATGCCTGCCCTCTTCAAATATGTGAAGGGCTTTCACATGGACGATGGAGTCAATTGGAACAAAGACAACAGGGCTCAGTTACAAGAAATGGGCTTTCAGTGTTGGAAAACCTTTCAGATCGTACGAGTATCAGAAGGTGGTGAAATTTCCTTCGTTAAATAGGTGGACGGCTGCTGATCAGGGATCCTACAGGCGGTTGGGCTAGAATACTTTTGAGGTACATTCCAGACCCATAATTCTGGAATGTGTGTGTGGAATGGGCTTCCACGAAAGGTCGTGGAGGCCGCATCGGTGCGGGTGTTCAAGGATAGGCTGGACGTCCACATGGTGGGCATGTCGTGAGCAGAGCCGGCTGGTGCCAGAGGTCAGACTAGATGGCTCGGGAAACCCCTTCTGACTCGCTCTGTTTCTATGTTTCTACATACTTCTAATTTCCAGAGCAAATTCTACTTTGCAGTGCGTTAATTTGCATGGAATGAGGGTGCGCCATGGCATCAGCTTGGCAGCTTATGTTAGGAATTTTCATTGCAATTTCTTCTTTGCTACCATTCTTCGTCTTAGTGTGTGAAGGTGTAGGTGCTGATGGAGAGGGCTGGCACTGGTTTTTTGTGACATGGATCAACACAGTGCCTGGATTCCTGGATTCTTCTTAGGGCGTGGGATGAGGGATGGTATCAAAACTGTTACGATTTGTACCTGCAGTTAAAATTGCCCACTAGGGAGGTTTGAAGATGGATGAGGCGGGAGGCCAATTGTGAGATGCACTAACTCCATAAAAGAAGCCACAACCTTGAGTTTACAGGAGCTGAGCAGGTCTGTCAAAGGCAGGACTTTCTGGAGGGCTCCCAGCCATAGGGGCACCATAAGTCAGAATCAGCTTGATGGCACGAAACAGCAGCAGCAAATCTTCAGCGTGCTTATTCAGAAGCTTCCTGCAAAGTCGAGTCGGCTTTATTCCTTACTAAGCATGATTAGGATTGTAACAACAACAAATGGCAGTGCTATTCAATGGGTCCAATTTGGGGGGAGTCTGCCTTTGTACTCTCTGTTTAAAATTCAGTTCAAGGAGAATCCATCAGGTATCAGTGCAATGTCAGGTGATTGTGTGCCTCGCTCAGGCCTTCAGTGGCCTCCCTTGTGTGACTTATGTGATCAAAGATGGCAAATGTGGGTTTATAGATCCACTTGTCTTCATCCACCCAGGGTAAATGACTTTCTCACTCTTCCAACTATATGGTGTGATCTTAATGGAAAAAGAGACTGCTGCCTTCAGTCTAGTGACCTGGAATAAATTGCCATTTCCCTCACTTTGCTTTCATTTCATTTCCCATTGGAGCTGCATGCTAATAAGACAATGCACAGGGTAGACACACAGAGGTGGAGAAATGCACAGGGATGCACTGCATTGGGAAAATATATATAGTGATCATTTGCCTTGTGTCAGACCAATGGTTCCACTAATCCAGCATTCAGTCTGGTCTGGGGAGACTTTTGCAGAGTTTCTTTGGCACCCCAGTTGAATTTCTCCTCTTCATAACACAAGGGACAACTGCCATTTAATTCTGTAAACCAAGGGATGACCACTTACAGCATTCCAAATAGCTTGGCCTACAACTTCCATGATTCATCGCCATTTATTCTGCTTGCTCAGTCTGATAGGAGTTGGAGGCCAAAACATTTGGATGGTGACAATTTGCACAAACCTGCAAGAACTGTTGGCAAATATTGTGTCTTGCTTGTTTTAGAGTGGTTTTAATCCAGCACTAAAGCAGGTGTTAAAAAACCCCACCTATCTAACCCAGTTAGCAGAGTGGTCACAACTTTCCAAAGAAATGGGCCAGACACGTCACAGGACAAGTTCTCAAGGCAGGATGCCATCAGAGAAATAGTTTTGTGCCACAAACACACCTGTAGCATGTCAAGGAGGGCTAAAGTGCCTGTGCAGGGATGCTATTATGGTCGATCATCTGGATAATTGTACTTTGGCTTAGGACACAATCAGTTGGGATGCTCCTAAACATCTGATCTAGAGGACGTCAGGCATTGTACACAGAACGGAAGGAGAGATGCAAGTCAACTCTGCTTTCTTCCAACCCTGAAGAGCACATAGACAGCTGATTTTGGCCCTCTGGGGAAGGTGCTTCGGAGCGGAAGGGAAAGGGGCTGAGGTGCCACTAACATTCATTGTCTCCTCTCTGCGTCCCACCCCGATTATCCCCCAAAGGCTATCTCTGCGGGGAGGGGGGTTCTAACCTCAATGGTGGGGATCCAAACAGCCCTGATCTTGCTGTCAGGTGGCACACAGGTTTGTTCTACCTGGATTGCAAAGCTTTAAAATAAAAGTGCATTCCTAGCATTGTTGGATAACGCACATATAATAGGCTGAGCATATTTTATGGAATTCAGGAAATGTTTTAGGAGCCTTTCTACAGGCAATGGTGGGTGCTATCCTCTTGGATCTGACTTGTGAGCTGATTATCCAGCCTTGTGTAGAGTGATGCTGAATGTCTCACGCATTTAAATTCATGCATGCACAACTTTTGCATTTAGAGCCGTTATGCTGACAGCTCAGAGCTCCAAGGCCAAAACACAAATCTTGTCTGAGTGCTTCTTCGAAATGAGAGTTCTTTATCACCCATAGCAGGAGGGAAGCACTGGGCTTATTTTGGAAAGGCATCTGTTTTGGGGAGGGCTTTAAAGTTGGTTAGTCAGGATCGCTTGCATACTTAAACATAGTTTGAAAGAAGCTCTGAGCTGGGGCATACGGCTTGCCAGGCAATCTCCAAGTGATGGAACAATTGTGGCCACAGCCTTTCCCACCACCACCGCGTAGGGAGGAAAGAACACATGCCATGAACATGGATACTTCCAGGATCAGTCGAGTCTTCTCTAGTTAAAGAATCTGATCTATCTGGGATGGGAGAATTGTTCTTGGCCAAGTTTGCTTGACAACCTAGTGAGTCACTGCCAGTTACAGCGAAATTTCTTGGCATAGGTGAAACAGTTATCTAATGTCATATGAGGCAGCTCCCTACATACATTGGCATCTTTTCTGTTGCAAAAAATTTGGCTTGCAAAAGTTTGCTAGGGTGGCCACTTATGAACAGCCCACCACGAAAGAGGACTTGATTTCCATAAAGGGCAAGTGCTAATTTTTACATAGTTTAGCACACCGAAAAATCCTTACTGTGATTGTAGATAGAAATGTATATCTTACTACAGTGTAGCGGATGGTGAGCAGCTGATGTTTGTGCCATGCCCATTCCCAGAGATGGCCCAGCTGTTCTCTAGGATGGTTCTGGATCTTTCAAGTGGACTTAGATTGGGCAGCCCTTCAAATAGAAGAGACCTTCAAAACACCACCACCATCATAGAAACAGAGTGAGTCAGAAGGGGCCTCCTGGGCCATCTAGTCTGACCCCCAGCACCGGCCAGCTCCACTCATGACATGCCCACCATGTGCATGTCTAGCCTATCTTTGAACACCGTCACCAATGGGGCCTCCACCACCTCCTAGGGGTCTTAACTCTCAGGAAGTACTTCCTGGCATCCAAATTGAACTTTGGTTCCTTGAGCTTGGTTCTGTTGGAGCACATCCTACCTTCCTCTGCAGGGAGAACAGGTCTCTACCTACCTCTGTGTGACATCCCCTCACATACCTGTATGTCGCCAACAGATCCCCTCGGAGTCTCCTCTTCTCCAGGCTAAAGAGACCCAGTTCCCTCAGTCTCACCTCATACGGCTTTCCCTGCAATCTGGCCACCATCCTTGTGGCCCTACGCTGCACTGACTCTAACCTGCACTGACCATCATCATCATCATCACATTTATACCCCATCTTTCTTCCCCTTTCAAGGAACCCAAGGTGGCTTACAAGTTCTCCTCTTCATTTTAGCCTCTTAACAACAATCCTGTGAGGAAGGTTATATAACCGGCCATTAACTGGCCCAGAATCACCAGCTGAGTTCCGTGGCCAAGTGGGGACCAGAACCCCAATCTGCTGAGTCACTGCCCAAGATTCTTAACTGCTACACCACACTGGCTGTCACAGAGGACTGTCCTGTGTGAAAGAGGCCACACCGCCACTGTAGCCTCCACTGACACTGACACACTCTAATCTGCAAGCACACTGGTTTGGCAGACAGAAATGCTTTGATGTTTGTGATGTCCGCCGTCCAATGTGAACAAAACCTCTTCTTCCCTGCTCTGTCCTTAGGTCTGGGGTTCAGCATTGCTGGCGGCGTGGGGAACCAGCACATTCCCGGAGACAACAGTATCTACGTTACTAAAATTATTGATGGAGGAGCAGCACAGAAGGATGGGAGGTTGCAGGTTGGAGACAGGCTCCTTATGGTAAGAAGCCAATATCAAACCTTTACATGTTTATGGATGCCATGAGTGTAACACAAGGCACATTCAGAACTCATCGTACAACAGACCGTGGGCCAGGACAATAAATATTCCTTTCTGGTTGCTTCCTTGCTATGTGTTGGTGGCCTTGAAGAAATCCTACTTATGCAAATCAATTCATTTCCACGTTTGTAAGAAAACTGGCTTAAATTTTTCAAGAAGCCAAGTTAAGCAAGGTCAAGGATCTCTCAGTGAATTCTACAGATGATGTTTATGTTTGTTTTGCTGTCACTGTGAGTATTTTGAAATCTCCATACAGTAGATACAATGAAAGTCACCACATGAAAACTGTTTGTGAGACCAGTTCCTTCTTTCCTGTTTGTGCTCCAAGAAAAGACTTGCCTACTATTGCCTTTATGTGGCAGTACAGATTGGGCCCAGATCAAGAAACCAAGCAAGCAGGGCGCAGGGACTGTTCGGAGGAGGAGATGGATCAATATGAGGAGGGTTCCTGCTGCTGATATTGTGTCCAAAGGCTTCCAAATCCCTTCCTGCGACTGCAAAAGGCCGGATCCCGAAACAGTGAAGGAACTTTGGGGTCATAACCAATGCATACAGAACTAATATTGGGCCTGATTACCTGTCACAGAAGAGAGTTTCAAGAAGCTCTCCAGATGTTTTGGACACTTATTTATTTATTTATTTAAAATATTTATATGCCGTCCTGTCGCGAAAGCCTCAGAAAGGCTTACATAAATGAAATAACATAAAATATAACATGAATAAATTACCGACCCACACTAGCTACAGTTAAAAACATATAGGAGACAATATTAAAACGTATTAAAATATTGCTGAAATAAAAAGGTCTTAACCTGGCACTGAAAAACAAATAACAACGGCGCCAGGCGGACCTCTCTGGGGAGCGCATTCCATAGTCGGGGCACCACCGCAGAGAAGGCCCTCCTCCGGGTACTTTGCCTCCTAATGTCTTTCACGGAGGGCTCCCGGAAGAGGGCCTCTGCTGCCGATCTCAGGGGGCAGGAGGGCAAATACGGAAGAAGGCGTTCCTTTAGGTATCAGGTCCCAAGCCGTTAAGGGCTTTATAGGTAATAGTAACCATTCATGAATGCTGTCCCCATCAAAGACCCTTTTCCCTGGATCTCACTAGATCCCATAGTCCTCAATGGGATCTTTTTCCACAGCAGACTGGATGGGTGCAGACAATGCAACAAGCCATGGTACTTTTTTACTATCGTGTTGCTTGTGGTATTTCACCATTGTAAGTTTGGTCCTTAGAAACAACAATTAGAAACAGTTTGTTCTGTCATTTCTCTGTACCACCATGGCTTGTTGTGTTGTGTGTCTGAACTCAAGATTGTGGTTTCTACAGTCCTGGTATGCACTTACCACAGTTCCCTGGACAGAGTGGCAACTTCAGGAGCTGCTCTATCCATCCAGCATCTACATGTGAACCAATGAGGAAGAGGCAGATGACATAATAGAGTAATGTACCTAGGAACTGAATTTCAGGAGCAGTAGTTTAGATATGAACCAAAAGTGGGAGGATTGAATGGGGAGGATGGAAACCACAATGGTGTAGAAACCACTTGATTGTCAGGTAGATGATAAAAAACCATGACCCATGGTAACCATGCAGGGTTGCTCATCATGCTGTGCTTTTTGGGCTAGAGTCCCAAAAACTTAGTCTCTGCAGATGATGATGCCCTTTTCGGTCAAGTTTCTGGTTGGTAGTGCTAGTCTGTGTGTGTGTGTTAGCTAGTTCATGATCAAAAGGAATTTTATTGACTTATTGAGCCAGATTCTGCCGGGGAGGGTACCAACAATCTCGCTTTCTGTAAGAAAAAAGCATGTAACTGCTTCAAGTCCTCCTCCAGTCACTACCAACTTACATCCACTCAACTCCAGATGCAACCTATTCAGTTTCGTAATTTGAGAGACAATACAAAGACAATTAGGTAAAACAATAGCCTTGCTTTCTTAAGGCAATTTTAGGCCTTCAGCAAAAAGAGCCGCTTCCGGTTTTTTTAGAGCTCTCCAAATCATGCAGAGCTTTCAAAAGGCCACATGAATAAACAGCAATAGACCAATTATGGCCTGCTAGTTTGCAGATGTTCCTTGGAGAATGTTCTCTTGAGCTGCACTTCAACACACACTAGAAGAAGGAGGAAATGATTTCTGAAGAGTCTTTCACAAAAGGACATAACTTTGCTGCTGCAAAAATTGGCACTTCTCCCCCTCTTCGTTTCAATCCAATCAAACCCCAACGAGCCTTGCAAAGCAGATGTAAAGGGCAATTTTCCACTTGAGTGAGAAATTTAAATAAAATTTGTACATTACCCGGAACTCTTTGCATGCCTTCCCCTCATTCCTCCAACATTCCTGCCAGCTTGAATGCAAACAAAAGTTGCTCAGAGGAACCCAAGTTGCTTGAGAGGCTCTCAGCTTCAAAGATGATGTTGGAGCATTTCCAAATTAGTTAAAGTGGCCAACAAGGAATGCTCATCATAAAACAGACATGAGGGATTATCTGTTGATTGCCTTTGTTTCCCTGCTTTTTCCTCCACAGCCCATAACAGCAAAGACGGGGTTTCCTCACACTCTTTCATCCAGGAGCTTCCCCCAGACTTGTTTAGTTCATGCAGATAAAGCCTTCAGAAAAATGTCAACCATGTTTTCCACCTGTGCTTTTCAAACTTGGTTTGTTTGCAATTTTTTAAAATTTTCCCAAACAAATTTCCCAAAATTCCCTTACCATTTCTCATGGTTGCAAAATTTCCATGAGAAATTGCACAATTTCCTGCAAATGACAGGAAATCTGTCCTTTCCTAGAAAGCAGCAGCTGAACTACAGTACTTCTTGTTTTAGTCACAAGCCTGGCATTAGCAGCAGTGCTGTTGAGAGCTGGTCCCTCTTTGCATTCAGTTTATCAAGCTCAAGACAAACTCTTTGAAGTGCAGTCCTTTTATTGCAATGTAGCAGATTACAGAAGAGCAGGAACTCTCAATAGCCTTATCCGAAAATCGAGGGAGAAGCCTCTGCCTAGGCAGAGGGTTGGGTCCAAACTGGAAATGTCCCCTCGCTTCCTCCCTTTCAGGAAAGTTGCTGTCCTCAGGGTGCCTCTTGCTCCTTGAGGATGAGGCAGCGGGAATGCCAGAGAACCTCTAGCTGGGCAGCTCATTTCTCCCATCACCTCCTTACTGGGTCAAGGACTGGGACTTGCATATCCCCCTCCCATCCTGAAAACCCATCTGCCCCTTCCAACACAGGTTGATTCTCATGTTCCACCTGAGAAACTTCACTAGGTACCCTTGAATGGGTACCTGTCTCTCCCGCTTGCCTCAGAATCAGATGAACCTACCTGAGCAACCTGTAATGAGCAAGAGATGAGTCCCCTCTGTACTCTTCTGCTTGAGTCCAAGTATGGCTACCGGTGCTAACATGCTCTGGGAACCCTCTTAAGTGGAAGATCCCTCTTAAGTGGAAGAACCATACTTAGCAGCCTCCCTGTGAGGGTTCATGGATGGACAATGTGACTGGAACGGCGCTCTATTCCAACGGCCTTGTTGCTCTGTTTGTGGGCTTCACACAGGCAGCTGTTTGGCCACTGTGTGAACTGGATGCCCCAAGACTAGACTGATTCACAGCCTGATCAAGCTCCTTACTTCTTTCCCCAAAATGTGGATAACATGAATACTGATTAAAAGGAAGATCTGTTGAGAATGTCCAAGATGCCTTATCATTGGCATGATGATGCACTCTCAAGGATCAGACATGGGTTGAGTGTGAGTTACTGTGTCATCTGAACCCAGCTGAACTAACCAGACATGCCTTGCTCCCCATAAGCCTTCCCCTTGAAGGAGCAGGTTCATAGCCTGGGAGTGCTCCTTGAGCCATCTGTGCCACTTGAGGCTCAGGTGCCCTCAGAAGCGTGGAGTGGCTTCTACCAGCTCCAGATAGCAGCCCAGCTGCACCTCCATCTGGACAGGAGTAGCCCAGGTGCAGTAATTTTTAGTGGGGTGTTCTCTAAGCCAGACTACTGTCAGACATAGAACATCCCTCGAAGGTAATGCAGAAGTTCAGCTCATGCAAAATAAGCTTGGGTCCTGGATACCTGAAGGGGTGCCTTCTTTCCCATTTGCCTGCCTGCCCCTTGAGGTCGGAGGCAGAGGTCCTTCTCCAGGAGGCCTCTTTGAAGGAAACTAGAAGGGTAGCTGCCCACAGAAGGGCCTTTTTGGCAGTGGCACCCCGACTGTGGAACATGCTCCCCAGGGAGGTTTGCCTGGTCCTGTCGCTTTATTCTTTTCAGTGTCAGGCATAGACCTTTTTATTTTCCCAATAGTTTAACATTTAATTGGTTTTATCTTTGATTTTATCATTAATAGTCGGATGCAGGGCGTTGTGTGTTGTTTGTAGTATGTGAGTTTTTTGTTTTGTTGTAAGCTGTCCAGAGACTTTAGTACTGGATGGCATATAAAAACTTTAAATAAACAAACAAACAAATAAAATGCAGCAGCCAGATCAATAATTGAGACCATAAGTTCTGAACATGTCATACCAGTTCTGACCCGCTTGCCCTGGCTGCCTGTATGCTTCCAGGCCTGACGTGAGGTCTGGTTTTAACCTTGCAAGTGCTGCTTGACTTGGGACCACCGTGCTGGATGGAACGTCACTCCCAAGCACAACCCACCCAGACGCTGTGCGAAGAAGCTGAGGCCTTTTTCCCAAGTGCTGTTTCCAAGGTGGGCCCAGTTGGTGGCAACAAGGAAGGGCTTTTCTCTGTGGCAGTCCCCACATTATAGGACATTTCTCCACTGAAGTTTGCCCGCCATCAAGCACCTTTTCCATGCCTGCTGAAGACTGACCTCTGCACCGAAGCATTTCATAGACTCAGAAGCATAGAGTAGTAGAGTTGGAAGAGGCCATGAAAGTCATCGGGTCCCACCTCCCGCTGTTGCAGGACACCACGTTACACCATCCCACTCAGGTGGCTCTCCAGTTTTGCCTTCAATGTCTCTAGTGTGAGACAGTCCACAACCTCTCTAGGCAGCTGGTTCCACTGTCATATTGCTCTGACGGGGAGGAAACTTTTCCTGATATCTAGCCCATTTCTGGGTTGTTGCAACTTGAATTGCTTATTCCATGTCCTACACCTTTAACAGCTCTAAATAACACATGGGGCAGGGTGATGTCAGCTAGCCTACCTATGAAAACCTAGCTTGTTTGTTTAAATTCTGGCTTTAATATTTCTAGAGATGTTTTCTGGGTTTTATGTATTATTTACATATTGTATTCTATTTTATAAATCGTACACTACTCAGAAATGTTGGCTATCGATCAGTGTAGAAATAAAAGAGAAAAATGGATAAACAACCCACACTCAACCTATACACAAAGCTTGAATGTGAACCCAGTATCTGTGTCTGTGCTCATTTTGTTGTGAATGCTAAGGAGTGCGCATACTCCGTGGGCAATAGGAGCATTAGAATCGGTGGGCCAGCCACGGTGTGAAGTGCCACCGGCTGTTTTCTGTGAAATCGGATCCCATCAATGTTCTCCCATTCAAATTGTCATTAAGCACCAGGCCTGAGAGCATTCAATCAAGGGGCACTGCAATTAGCAAAGGACATTTGCAAATTAGACTCATTTGAAAACTTATCCACAGGATCTTGAAACCAGTAGGCATGCTATCAGCCTGCTTTCTTTATCCAGGCCTTTCGAGCTCCTAAGGGGATTTTCTCTGGAGCGATACAACCTGTTATCTGCAATGGTTTATTGTATTCCTTAAGCAAGCATCGCTGCCTGCTGTTCATAGTTCCACTCCAGTTTCCAAGGGCTGTCTAAGACCACCCTAATGCCCCTCTCTCTTTATTCCCATTAGGTAAATAATTACAGTTTAGAAGAAGTAACGCACGAAGAAGCAGTAGCAATATTGAAGAACACATCTGATGTAGTTTATTTAAAAGTTGGAAAGCCAACCACCATTTATATGACGGATCCTTATGGCCCGCCAGATATTACACATCGTAAGTAATGATTTGCCTGTGGTCTTTATGTGTCATTATCTGCTTCCAGGGAGGGGTTGGACACCAACAGCACCCATTCCTAGAAACATTGTGTCCATTTAGAGTCATGCATGCATCGGTTGCATCCCATGTAGGCTGATGTAAAGTGTGGAACATGGAGTTGTCTTCAAAAAGTGTTCAGAAGCTTTGGCTGACCGTTGTGTGAGGCCCATTACAGGGAGCAGGTTGCCCTCTTCTTACAAGAGCTTCACTGGCCACCGGACTGCTTCCTGGAAGTTTTGAAGTGCCACTGATGCCCTGGACAGCCCGAAATGGCTTAAGACCAGGCTACTGGAAGTCCATCTTCTCCCACAGAGCCCTGCCTGATCCTTGATTTCCTGGAGCAGCCCTCCTTTCAAGGCCACACCTTCTGAGGACCATGTGGTGCCAACCTCCAAAAGGGCATTTTGGTTGGCTCTTCCCAGGCTGTAGATGAAGACTAACCTCTTCCTCCTCCTCTCTGCTCTCCTTCCAGTAGCAGGCAAGGATTGCTTTATGCAAGAAGGCCTTGGGCCCATAAAGTAGATCTGTTGGGTGGGTCCTGCCATGGTCATGTTTTTGTTATATTTCCATTTTAATTGTGCCCGTAAACCACCTGGAATGCCATTGCTGAGTAGAAAGGCTGGGGTACGCATCAAACAAATGAATACATAAATTTGTGGTGACTCTTTACCTTAAGGGCGAAGGATTGAATGACACAATGATCGAAAGAAGCCATGACCAAATCCCCAAATGGGTTTTGCTTTTTCTTTCTTTAAAAGCAGCTGAGAGTTGTGGAGTGGTTGTTATTGTGGCCATGAGACTGAAAGACCAACACAGGGCATCCCTGAGCCAGGTCACTTCTACCCCAAAGCTGCCATTGGCCACGGAGGACCTTTGTGGTACCTCACTTAGCATTTCAATGGAGTATGTTGGAGGCACGGCATGAGAAGAAAGCATTAAGCTTCCTTCCCCCTGCCAAGATTATAGCCCCAGTCCAGCTAGGATGCCCCTACAACTATGTTTAATGCAACATTAAAGAGGGGAAATTAACAAGTGCAAATTTACTAATTACTGTAGACAAATTTGGTTTCCTTGCAATGTCACAGCTCATGTTAAATGCAGAAAAGCTTTCCAACAATTTTGTCCCATAGCTGAATGGCAGTAACTCTGGAACTGAAACTCAACGCTCAGGCCAAAGGGTCCTCTTGGCCCATCCCAGGAAAGGCCTTGCCTATTGTAACCTCTCCTCATAGGGGAGTTGGGGTGTTGCGCCATCCCTTGATGATACTAGTTATCATCTTCCCTGTTTGAGGAGGGGCCTGGATCTTGTGCCCCAGAAGAGCCCAAAAGCATACCCAGCCCTGGAGCTGGTACAGTGAATTCCCCCCCCCTCCATTTATATCAATGAAAGGGAATTTTTTAAGGGCCTCCATGAGTCTATCTCCCAACTTGCTCTCTTAGCAATGGTTTCCTGTTTGAACCATCCTGTTTTTGAGGTTGCCCGCTGAGACTTGCCCCGGGTAACATCAAGGGCCCCCAGAGCAGGGCACCTGCTAAAGACCCACACAGAGCAGCAAGTTCATTGACAAAAGCCCTCTGGATTTGCTCCGACTGGCTGTGGTTCCAACCAGAGTGGCAACAAGGAGGAAGAGAAGTAGATGCCATGACCTGCTTGCTCACTGCTTTTCCACCTGTCAGGTAACTAAGCAGTGGCCTTGAAGAGAAAGAGGCTGAAGAAGAGCAAGAGCAGCTGGTGATGTGATAATGAAAATGTCGATGCCTTGAAAGAGGAGCCCTGATAAAGGTGTCTTGTCCATTCTGCCCCCCCCCAAAAAAAAACTGCAGCTGACACTACTCCAGGTGCCTCAAGAGCTTAGACAGGTAGAAACAAAGGACACGGCACCCATCTGTGGAAGAAGCCTCCCAGAGACATTTCATTTGTTTCCATCTTTACTTCTCCAAGGCAAAACCTTAAAATGTCATTGCTCCTTTAGGCACTTCTACTCTTATTCTGTCTTTTTTTAAAGGAATTCAGACAGTTTTTTAGGATGCAATTCTATGCGTGTTTACACAAAGACAATCCCACAAAAAGTCAGATCTTTTTTCTGTCTGAAGGGTTGCACCCTTCACTGCTGTTTTGCGCTAGATTGCTTTAATGATTAGTGTAAAAATGCTGGGAGAGAAATGTTTTGGCTAAACTTACGTTGCGCGAAGTTGTATCGTGTTACATTCCAGTCAAGGTAAATATACGTGTATTTCCTTCTAGCATACTCCCCGCCTATGGAAAACCATATACTGTCTTCAGGCAACAACGGCACTTTAGAATACAAGGCATCTTTGGCCCCGATTTCGCCAGGAAGATATTCGCCCATCCCAAAGCACATGCTAGTGGAAGATGACTATACCAGGTCAGACATCCATCTTTGCTTGAGTGCCTTTGATTGATGATTTGATGCAGGGAGGGTGGCTTTAATCCCATTAATATAACCTCGGCAGTGCATGAGTCATGGAGCAGTCTTATTGGGCAAGGAAGGGACATCCGTCCGCCACCCCTCTAGCTGTCTCTCAAGATAATCAGGACCGATAAGCTCTTATGTTAACCGTAGGAAAGAGGATGGATGGTGCTCTTTGGGATGTAATTACTGGTTAGAGAAAAATGGGCCGCTCTATGTAGCCTGACAGTAAGTCCATCCTCCATAAGCAGGAGGAACCGCTGTCCCACCCTAGGCTTGGCCTTCCTTGTCTTGTTCTCTGCCCAAAGGCCACCCCTTGTCCCTGCCTTTCCTCGGCCTTCTCCTTCCTGGGTAGAATGAATTTTCCTTCTGTTGGTTTCTGTGGCATGCCAGTTGCATCCCCCAAGTTTCTCCCTGCCCTCCTGGTATTCCTCTTTTAGCACCTTGTCCTTTGGGACTCTGCTCATCCCACCTTCATTTCTCCCGATTCTGCCTTGGACCTCAGGGCTCTGTATTCACCTCCACGGCATTCCCCTCTTGGGGATGCACTAATCCCCAGTCCCTTACCTCACCTTGCAGCTTTTCCCTGGACTTACTCTTCTTGAGGAGTTGAAATGCACACACTGAGGCTAGCTGGAGCAGCAGCCACAGAAATGCATCCCCATGTGAACATCCAGCTCAGCCGCTGGAGAAGAAATCGCACAAAGATTCATTTGGCGGCTGACTTGCTGGTGCGGATTTCATGTCGGTAGCTTCAGTTTATCCTAGAGCCGTCCGGAGTTTGTTTGGGCTAAACAACAATTTAGTCCACTGTGGGTATCTTTTGTACATGCCCACCTTGTTCTCCTGGACTACCTGTAGTCAATGCTGTATACCATTCCCCCTCCCCACATCCATCCCTCCCTGCCCAAAAAATATACGTGACCTTTTTATATGCATTAATTTCCCATGCAATTTTTCATTGATAAATGACATGTTTATGGCAAGGACATGTTGGGTCCTCTGGGAATGTTGTCTTTCCCCATGGCAGCTCTCTGACAGTAGAGCCAATTTGAAATCATCTCCATCATTGATTTATTTATTTATTGCTACACTGTCCAATAACAAAAGGTCTCTGGGCAGTGAACAAGAATTAATAAATACAATAAAATTCAATATAAAATTGAACAATAGGAGCATCGTAAAATTACACTAAAAATAAAACCACGTGTTAGCAGAGAAGGACAAGTCTAACTAACCCATATTGCCAAACCTGCTTTAAAAAAAAAAATACACGCACAACAGGCAATCCCAACCACACAACCCCATGTTCCATTTGCAAAAGCCTCTGCTAAAAGGGTGATCTTAACCTGGTGCCTTGGTGGAGCGATTGTTCCATAATTTGGGGGCCACCACAAGGAAGGCCCACCTCCTTGTTGTCACCAACCAAGCCTCCCTTGAAGGTGGCATTCAGAGGAAGGCCTCAGATGTTGAGGATTGTGTCCAAGCACATAGATTCCTCCGAAAGTATCCCAGGAAATATTTTTCGCTGCGAATTATTTGATTAGAAATCCCTGGATGTTTTAGCACCCCACCCCCAGTTGAAATGTAGTAGTGAGACAGTTCTGGCCATGTAGATGTTGTTGAGCTTCCGTTTCCATGGTCCCAACCAACAAACAACATCCTAATGCTTCCTTAGAAGTGTGCTACGGACAGGCCATTGTGTGGGGTGGAGGGATACAATCTGTTGTTGGTTTCACTGTGGTCATGTGCCTATTCACCACAATTTTGGAGGAAGATGCTTTCCCGGCTGACAGTCCATCCATATTGCACAGGTTTGCAATAGTGTGAGGAGGAATCCTTGCCTCTGGTGTCACTGATTCTACTTTTGCATTTTGCACTGCTTCTGAGGATGTTCGCAGTGGTCCTGAGGAGAGAACATGACGCAAAGCAATGCTCCATCTTCTAGGTCCCTTTATGATTTTGGCCCTAGTGACTTCTCTCTCTTTTTTCAGATATGACTTCCCTTGGTAGGTGTGTCCCACTGGAACAGGGATACTGCCAGCCAGTAAGGGAATCCCCATGAGTGCAAGAGATTCAATCAATCATTGAGACAAAATAAGAAACCCCTTTTATTCTTTTTGTTCACTTCTACCTGCTGGAAAGGGAGAAGATCTTATGCCTTCTTTTAGAGTAACTAAGTGCTCGAATACAAGATTTGTGAGCACCAGCTTGTGAACCTGCTTAAATGTAGTATTATTTATTCAGTGTGAATATTTTCATGTTGCTCAGTTTGCTTAATAACAAACAAAGGCAGTGTGTACCAGTGGTTAGATTGGGATCTAGAAAACCAGCCTCAGTTCCCTTCTTTGCTGCTGACTATAATTATTATCATCATCGTCGTCATCATTATTTTAATATCCTCTTGAATCGTTTGCTGTTTTCTTGATCCTATACAAAATTGCTACTGAGCGTTTGCTAGCTTGTGTAATAAGTTTGTAACCTGTAGATGAGAAATACTGAATAATGTAAAGCTTTGGCATTTTCTCATTGTGCACTTGGAAAGAATGGTTTCAGATGCATTTGGGAAAACACCTATTGGTTTTGTTTTCTCAATCCATTAATAATATGAACTCATGCACCAAGCTGGAATGGACTGTCCATGAACTGTGTAAACAAATTATCCTATGCTGTTGTCAAGAAAATGTTTTATGCTGATATTTGCATAGGGCTTCGAAAAAACAAATGCAACAATTAACCATGTTTGAGAAGGTCCCTCCTTCTCAAACTAGTCTGCAGGAGCGGCCAATGGTAACGCTTTCAGGTAAAGGTACAGGTTCTTGCTTTCTCTCCTCAGTCACCACAGTATTATACCTTTATTTAGTTCTGCATATATATCTTGCCTTTTCTCTTGCTGCAAGGAACCCACGGCCCCTTATATGGCTGTCTCCTTTTTTTTTCTTTAATCCTTACAGTTATTATTATTATTATTATTATTATTATTATTATAACATTTCTATGCCGCCCCTTGCCGAAACCTCGGGGCGGCTTACAACATGATAAAATACATTGAAATACAATAGTACATCATAAATTACCATTAAATATAAAAATACAAAAAAAATACATTGATTTACAAATACAAAATTAAAATTATCAGTATAAAATAAAAATATAGGAGGAGAAAGAGAAGGAAGAAGAAGTTGCCCCGGCCAGATCATATGTTTTAACAATTGAAATGATGTTTAAATAAAAAGGTCTTTACCTGGCGCCGAAAAACCAGTAACGACAGTGCCAGGCGGACCTCAGTTGCCCTATAAGGCAGGTTAGACTGAGAGTGGGGTGCAGAATGCAGGTTCTCCAGTGCCAGTCCTACACTATACTGAGTTTCACACTGTTGCAAGATAGGGACATTGCTCACTAGGAAAATGTGTGCCCAGGGAATTTATTTTTATTTATGAGGTTCCACTCCTGGCATCTTCAGTTAAACAGGAACCTTGGCATCAGGTAGAGCTGCTTAGCTGAGATGCTGGGAAGACACTGCCAGTTCAAGCTGGCAAATGGCCCGTTGTTTCATTTGTGTAAGGCAACTTCCTATGTTCTAGTTAGAGATGGAGCAGGAACATATTTTAATTCTACACCTTTGATCCTATATGTGAAATGAAATTCACATTTCTCCAAATTTTGAGATGGAGAATTCTGAAAAAAAATTAGGCATACCAAATGCATATACTGGGGAAAACATTCATCAAAATATCAGCAAATTAGGGGAAAATATTGCATGCCTAAGGCAAAATCGTGTAGCAAATACCTGCCTTAGGTGAAATGCACACAAAAGTGTTATGCAGACTTTAAAGAAAAGGTTTGGAAACAGTGTGGATTGAATTTAAAATTGGAGAAATGAGAAAAGTGATATTCTTCATCTTTAGTTCTAACCAGTGCTTTCCACTCCTACTGTATCCCTGTATTGTCATTTGGACAATCCAAACTGCTTTTAATGGATCATCTACATGATAAAATTCTCTCCCCTTCTGCAAGGCCTGTCCTTGATGCAGCTCTGTGTATTTAACACACACACGCACACACAACAGGAAGTATGTAGATTCACACAGGTATCGCTGCAACTTCTTAACGCCACTTTGCATGGTAGCCATGATAATAGCAATATATGGAATAGACGCTACACAGACTTTCCAAACAGAACTGGCTTCTTTCTGCTCTGCTTGTTTCCATCAAGAAACTGTAGAAAGCAAAGCATGCCCTGTAATTTTTGGAACCATGTGCATTTTCTGCTGTTGAGCCTAATGCATTGCCCAGAGAGAAATTGAATGCAAAAACCCCTGTACTGCTTCACTAATTTATTATAATAATATTTTGATTCTGCTTCTTAAATAATCTCCACTTCCATGCTTCTCTGTCCTATTTCATTTTTAATACTAACAATTCACTGTGAGCTTGTGCATTATAATGTAATTTTTAGCTAACAACTGAGGCTGAAGAAGCACATGCTATGATTTTTAAACAGTAAACAAGCCAACCCATTCTGCTTACATGGGAAATACTGGTGTAAGCTCTTGGGCTTTGTTTTAACTCCAAGAGGATCAATGCAGAGAAATTGAGTATGCAAAGGATGCAGAAACAAAGGCGATCTTCCCATAATGTTAGCACCTGAGTAAAAGAAAGTAAAAGTATTTTAGAAGTTCCAGGATCAGAGGAATTCACAACCTGGAAGAAAACCCAATGCAATGGTACTAATATGAATTATGCTGTGCTAGTGTAAAAGGCCTCTAGCAAGAGGATTTGCTCTTATCAGGAATGCATGAAAAATTCATTGTGCAAGCTAACATTCGTGCCATTGCAGAGTCCCCAACACGAGCAAAATGTGATTTGTGTTAACACCCAAGTCATACTGAATTCTATGCCTTGGAATCCTGACCTTGAAATTCTGTCTCCATCCCCTTCTCTGCAAACCACTG